CAGATGGGATCCCCTTCAATGATGTCCACACACTGGAAGGAAGCTGGCAAGAGTACCTTGGGGAAACATTTGAGGAACCAGGAACACCACCCAAGCATGATGGTGAGTCAAGTCCCAAATGTGCTTGGAAAAAGACAGTGGCCAAAGCAACAAGGATGGGCAAGGTTGACTCTGTGAAATTGGTGAAAAATGCTGATGGAGAGATTTGGATAGGAGAAGTTGTGGGCCTTAGCCAGGACCAACTACAAAAAATGGTTTGTGGATTTGTGACTGCTCACTACCATGAGTGGCCAGAGTATTTAGTGTCCTCAATCTCTGATGAGTGCTATCAGGATTAGCATGCAGCCATCCCTTGTCAGCAGTGCTGTTCAAGAATTTTGGTCATCATCAAGCAGAAATGATAGCAGCCCACCATCTTCCTGAAGGATTTACCTTCAACCATGACCCAAGTCACATGTGGACAACAACAGCTACCCAGCTGCTGTCCTTTTGGCACAAGCAACAGGAATCCCATCCAAATGATGTGTTTGGGTTTCAAAAATGGATCAATCAATCTGGCAAGCTGCAGCCACTGGTGGATAGAACTTTGGTACCCCCCCAGGTTGTGAGGCAGCTGAAATACCAAAAGACACCTGCCCCCAAATGCAAAAAGAATCCTGGAAGGAAAAATATCAAGGGCAAGGGTAAAGTGCAGTAAGAGGGAGTGGTGGATGATAGTGTGGATGATAGTGCAGATGATAGCATGGATGACAGCACAGATGACAGTTTGGATGATCATGGCAAGGCTGAGGTGAGAAATGTTGGAACAGATGGTCCCTCCACTAAACAGGTGTGCCATGTGTGATTTTCATGCACAACAGATCAGCACTAATGTGATTCTGGTCTTCAGGTATCTGGCAGGAGACAAAACTGTGCCAAGACACCATTCCCTTCTTGTTCCCACTCAAATCCCCCATGGAACAATGGGGATTGGCACCTGTTCCATGTTGCAATCAAGGTATTGGCATGAGCATAATCTGATACACCATTGACATTGATAATTTTAGTCCTGCACACCTTACATGTCACAGCATCTTTCTACTGCAGAAACACCACTCCCAGCAACACACCATTCAATCCTACCCTCAATAGGCACCTTGTGCAGGCTGTGAATGCCATTGCAAGAGAATTGGGCACAGCTGCAAGGGACCAGTATGGTGCAGCCTCTCAGGGCCTTCAACTTGTCAATATGCTTGATGTAGGGAATGTATTTTCCCTACCAGGGGAATTGCTTTGTTTTCCTTGTTTTACTTGGTTTTCATTCCTAGATACTTTTTCTACAAGTTATACTTAGATTTCGCTTTTTTGGTTGCTGAGTCAGCAGTAGTTCTACTTGTGTACAGTTTTTTTTCTTTAAAAAAATAGATGAGTTACCACAGATGAGAGACAAGCTCAAGCAGGTCATTCCCTGCACCAAGACAGCCATAGAAGCCTTCAGATGACTACCAGGACCCAGTCCCAGGCTATAGAAGCCCCTTTTGGCCTACTCATTCCCCTCAGATATCCCTACTAAACCTCCCTCCTCATTTAAATCCCATTTTCCTACATTGATTTGATGGAAGTTGTTCATTATCTGTGTTCTGCCTTTGAAAATTGTCCCAAGCCATTCATTGCCAGCCAATCACACCCATCTTGCCAGTCTGTGGTAGAGATGGGTATCCTCTACTTGGCATGCCAGATCAAGGTGGCCTCTGTACATCTGAAGCAGACTGCTGATATCATGGGATGGCCTGCACATTGGTTTGCAAACCTAGCAATGGACTTGGTAGGTTTTACATCAATTTTTCACAATGTGGGACTGATACATAATTCCTTCAGAATCAGCCTAATAGCCTGATTCTGGTGACAGTGTTGCATGCCAGTTATACTCCTCCCCTCCCAGTGTGCTACCATGCATACCTCAGACACCAAGATGATGAGGTTAGCTTCCATGATCAAATGCAGCTAATTCCCCTTAGTGCATTTTGCATAATCAACAATATCAGTACCATCATCCCACATTGGACCCCACACACAGCTGATCCCAATTCTGGCTTTGCATTCCCTTGGTGGCTATATCATTCTGAGGAATACACAGTGGATTCCCAAAGATTGCAAGGCAAGGGATTGTTTTCCATGGCCTGGGATTTTTTTAAGCTATGCCACTTATTCTTGTCACTGCAAATAGTTGATGATGACCCAGGGCTTATGGCCATTGCCTGAGGCACCAATCACAGACTGTCTTGATGGTCATATCAAGGAGCAGGTAAACTACTGCATCAAAAATATTTGGAAATATGTCAATGTTGTCAATGGTCAGGGTCAACAAATTGACCATTTCTATGCTAGGTGGTGGGCATGCCACTTCAATAGTTTACATGTTTTTGACTGTGGAGTTGGTTGTATATACATTGCTGTGAATGTCAATCATTTATGAGATACCACCCATGCACATGATGTCTGAACCCCCACCCATCTGTGTGATGTCTGACAATCCACCCATCTGCATGATGGCCTGAGTAGGTTTACTTTTGTTGCAGTTTATGATGCACACCCTTTAGCTCTGAGTACCCACCCAATCTATGATATCAAAGCACCCACCCATTTGCAAAATCTTGGCAACACCACCTGCTGAAGTTCGAGAGCCAGCATATCCTAATAAAATATGAGATCTGCATTGCCTACTAAATCTTACATCAAACCCTGCAGCTTCAAATCAACAGTTCTCCAGTTGCAACTGGTCTAGGTAGTAGGTCATCCATCCATGATGATTGACACATGGGAATGTGCACTGACTGATGTACATTGGCACACATGTAGTATGCCAGGCATGCTCTGTCACTGTCTACAGCTCCCACCCCATGCTCCAATGCTGAACCTGAAAATGCAATGATCATCCCTGGGTTGTAGCACAGCCACAGATTCAATGTTGGAATGACAAAGTCCAAGGGCAGGTAGTCACCCACAGTTACCAGCATGTCATACCATGGATCCCATCCATTGATATCCCTGTGGTAACAAGTTGCCCAATTCACCATCACAGACATGCTGCTATACATGGAGCTCCATATCAGCAGTATGGAGCTCATATCCAAATCCACCTGCTGTTCTGCCTGTTCACCAAGGTGGATCAATGCTTTCCTGCCATCTGCATACATTTGTGGATGGATTACATGCAGGATTGCAGATAACAGGGCATTGGTGTTGGACATTTGGTTGACCCATTCCCTTGTAGAAGTGTTTTCCATCCTGGATTTGAGCAGCTGTGAGGCTTCCAGGAAGCCATTTTGGGGCTTCAAGACAGATGAGTGCTTTATTCACAAGGCCAGAAATGATCACCCACCCCATGACCCTGTTGAAACCATGTGGGTGACAGGTTGATGGCACCTTTCAACTCAGCATTATCATAGAAATATGACTTGTCTGTCCACCATGCCTGTGGGGAAGCCTTTATGCTCTCCCACAGTGGTTCCCTCAGAAGATGAAGGTGGTTCCATACATCAGCCTGCCATTCCATTAAGTCAGTAGAATATGAGATTCTGCATTTCCTTACCCTTCTTTTTGGGCCAAGAGCATCCAGAAAATACCATATGTGGATGGTGTTTGAGTTGGTCACCAGATGTTGCAAATTTCCTAGATCCATGACAAGTCATTAGCATACCTTAATAGGAGCGGATTTCCCACACTTCCTTTTAATGACTTGTAATGCCACCCACTTTCCATGAACATGCAGTTGAAATCATGTGTCATCTCATGATTATGACTTTGATAACTCATTATTTTACCTAATCATGGTATTATATTGCTGTGGCCTAATAAGTACTTATAATGGCATGACAATGGCAAAGAACCCATAGCAATACCAGTGGAACTCATCACAATGTATACTAACCAGTATTATTTATTAATATTTTGATGATCCATTGTTATTTCATTTTGCCTTGGTACACTCATGATGATGGTTAAAATTCCATTCAGAAATCACTATTTGTTGATGTATAGATGAGTGGTAGTAATAATTGGAGAGTTCTACCTAATAATGCCAGTGGTGCAAGTGGACATGCAAAGCAGACAATGAGTGACTAAGAGCAGTAAGGGGAGGAAAGGGCAGCAGCTCAATGTAAGTATGGGGGTCATTGCAACAATGACACAAGGATGAAAGCAAATGCATATGCTGTGGACAACCATCAGATCATAGCTTACAGTGCAATTAAAATACTTATGAGATTAGTGAACCAATGGGAGCAGTGATATGGGGCAATGGGATGAGGAAGATAGAATAAGTGTTGTATGAGAGGCATTCATAGCATCGAGCAATAGGACAATGGAGCTGGCATTGACACACAATGCTGTCATGAGTTGTCTGGAACCTTGAAAAAAGTTAATGTCAGAAGTAATAATAGTGTCATGGGGGAAATGTACCTCAACCCTCAAACCCACTCCCCAGGTGACAGACAATGACAAACGAGCATGACAAGGTGGATAACAGCAACAACACCATACAACAATGCAATGAACCAGGACAACAATGTGGGAGACAACAAGGTGTGAGAAGAGGGGTGAGTCACTTATAATATAGCCAGCAGAGTTTGAATGACTTAGAAGAAATCAGATCAGGTAATTCCAGAGGATGACAGCAACGATGTATGATTGCAGTGAATGAATGTATTACAAGTAGATCTACATGACCTTGAAACATGAATTGCATCTAATATAATGGGATGCAAGCTAAATCAAAGATAATAGAACATATAGAAACCTGGCACATAAGTGACACCTGGCACTGCTATTAATTCAAACCTTTGTCTTCTTTGGTTTGAGGACCTTGTAGTGGTAGCATGGTGACCACAGTGGGTAGGTTCCAGACCTGGTTCAGTAGCATGAATATCAGTTGTAAGACCCTTGGGAACCACCTTGGGAATCGCTGGAATCACCTTTTGAGTGGCCAAGCTGCACCAGTGACTCATGACTGGAATTGCTCATCAGGATTGAGATGTTTCAGCCTCAGCTGGGCCAGACACATTCATCTGACCAACAGCAATGGTCACCACTGACACCTCAACACCACTGTTTGAAATCAGCTGCCCAATTGAGATAGAAGGGGATGATTGATGAGAAGCACCAGAAATAGTTTGAGCACCAAGATCAGCTTGTGCAGCAGTGACACTAGCTGGATGAGAGTGAGGGGGATTGAAATGAGTGACCAAGCTAGCAACAGGTGATGGAGCATGAGAGACCAATGACAGATCAGAGTCACATAGATCTGAATCACAGCTGCCAGGGGCATTGGGGTCATGCAGTGTGGACACAGGTGGGGTGTGACTCTCAGCAGGGTCAATGTTGTTGAGTTTGTCTAAAAATTTGTCTTCCCAAGTATGCAGCTGCTCCATGTTAGCAAATACCTCAGATTTGACATTCACCAATTGAGACCCCTTCCCAAAGACTTCCTGGTTGAAGAAATTCATCATGCTGACAGCCCAAGGAGATGCTTTGAAAAGCTTCTTGAGGTAGAAATTGTATTCTGATCAGTAGTTGACCTGTGTTTCTGCACTGGTAGCACTTAATTCAGGATCATGTGACAATAGGAATTGAACCTTGGTATGATATTGATGTCAGCATGTACTAGCACAGTGACCATGGACACCCTCACCAAGATGCAGGCACCAGCAATCAGGCCCTCAGTAATGCTCAGCACACCCATCTTCTGACCCCTGGCTGGGGGCTGTCCACATTTGTTTTCTGTGAGGATCAATTTTCCAAACATCAGGACACAGATAACCTATGGGCTGAAATCAATTTTTGAATAAGAGTGGCATTGAACTGTGCATGCTTACCTTAACTAGGATGGGAATCTTCAAGAAGCCTCCAGTAATCATCTGCTTAGGATCTGCAAAAAGAATGGGTGCAAAACAGGTGTATTCTCCAACTCCATCCTTCTTCAAGAGTGCCAGGCATGCCTTGTTGTCCTTCTTACAAGCAGGCTTTCCAGTAAAGAGATCCAGTGAAATGTTATATGGAGTGAATAACATGCCAGCACAGTCCTTGATAGCTTTGAGGACATTGGATCTCTCCTGACCATGCACTTGTACAAAGTTAAAACAAATTAATATGTTAGTGGTCACCAAGGTTGGAATTACATGTACCATGGAGCCAAATTGCTTGTAGGTTACCATTGACTCATGTAAATCCATGGGAATCATCTTGTAAAGCTCAGTCAGAGTGCCCTTGAGCTTCCCATCCTGTGATTTCCATCATTGTCAAGTCTGGGCCTACTCCGACCAACTCTGATGCTGGATGAGGTCTGGGGAGAGGTTCAGAAGCAAGTCCAATAGAAAGAGCAGAACTCCAACTGGCAGAATGTTGGCAAGAATGAAGTCTGCTGAGGCAAGGGTGGAGTGAAGTGAGGGCAGATCACCCACCCCATGACCCTGTTGAAACCATGCAGGTGACAGGTTGATGGCACCTTTCAACTCAGCATTATTGTGGAAATATGACTTGTCCATCTGCCATGCCTGTGGGGAAGCCTTTATGCTCTCCCACAGTGGTTCCCTCAGAAGATGAAGGTGGTTCCATATGTTGGCCTGCCATTCCATTAAGTCAGTAGAATATGAGATTCTGCATTTCCTTACCCTTCTTTTTGGGCTGAGAGTGTCTGGCAAATACCATACATGGATGGTGTTTGAGTCAGTCACCAGAATGGACAGCTCAGTCACTTCTGCATATCTCTCAGCAGCTTCTGCATTGCAGGTTTTTCCACCCTGATTTTTCCCACTGTTGACTGCAGAAAGATGAAAACTTCTATCACACCATTATGATGGACTTACTTGGGTGACAATAGGCCTATGAGATTACTGATGATATGCAATCCACTTCACATAACACCAGAAACAGAATCAATATATCTGGAAGGGTGCAAAGTCCACTGAATACCTCCTCTTGAAATCTGGTTTTCATGTATGATGCAATGCAATCTGTTAGTTCCATTCACCATCTGTGGGGGGTTTTAGATGTTTCTTGCATAGTATTCATGCTTGGGGTGGATGAGGTTGGAGTTGTATAGTGGGTGAGCTGCTTGCAGCTTTTTGGAAAATTATGGCATGTCAGGATGCTTGCCTCAATATTTTACTGTGATCTGATCAATATGTTGTGACACTATATGTGCTATTGGTGTTGGGCCTGTCTTATGTTGTGACAGGGGTGGATCTTACTAGATGGACCTGTCCTTGTTTTATGGTGATATAAAAGATATTACTGAAGGGCCCATCCATACGTTATGACCATATAAATAATACTGCTGAAGGGCCCTTCCATATGTTATGATGCTATAAATGATATTACTGATGGGCCCATCTATTTGTTGTGACACTGTAAATGATATTACTGATGGGCCTGTCTTTATGTTGTGACAGGCATACATGTTGCTATTGATGGGCCCATCCATGTGTTGTGACCATGTAATTGATATTGCTGAAAGGCCTGTCTTTATGTTGTGACATGGGTGCATCATACTAGTTGGGCCCATCCAAGGTCTTCATCTTTGGTGACCATGCCCTTTGCTTGGGTTGATCCTAGGGGGGCCATCTCTGGTTTGAAGAAGGGTCAGGCTGTTGTCATCTGTTGAGTGGGTGGTCAGCTCTGTGTCATGTAGCCCTCTGTTTGTGAAGTAGTAGAGTTCAACAAAGTCAGCCTTGTGGAGTCTGCAGGCTGCAATCTGGGAAGGGATGATGATAGAGTTACAGTGGCAGTGAGGGGAACTACTAGCAAATTGTGTCTACTTATCATCTAGAACTGGATGTTTAACATAGTAAGCCCCATTGCAAATGTCCTCTGGGTTGGACAATGCTTCATCCCCTCCATTGGAAGGGCTATAATAATACTTCTGGAGCAAGTTTGTGCTTGTAGATGGTTGCAGACAGCAGCTTTGTGTTCAGAAATACCAAGGCAGTTGCAAAGCCTTTGGAACATGCACTCTCAACAAGATTCACACAGTAAAACTTCCAAGCTTGGTATTGCAAGACAATGGTAGAGATCAAATCTATAATATGTATGAATGTAATTCAGTACAAATATTGACTGGAATCCCCACTTTTTATCCCCTCTGAGTTTCTGCCCTCCTCTGGAGTTCTGTCTTCCACCTCTAGAGTTCAGTTCCACCTCTGAAATATGAGGGGAAAACTTGCACAAGGGGGAAGCACACTAGCTAAACCAAATGCCATCTTTGCTGGCCTCTGACCTCTGACTCCAACACTTTCCTCCAGCCTCCTCCCTGCATTGTTCCTTACATTTCTTGACTTGTGGTCAGGTTCACATCAGACTTTGGCCACTGTTGTTATAAATTTTCCAGCTTCTGGCAATTGATATGGCATTATACAAAGGTGGCATAAGTTCCCAGCCTCTGATTCTGACAAATTCAGTTTCAAATTTGAAGGATGCACAGAACTATTTGAGAGGACATGGATGTACACTATAAGAAGTAGATTCCATATTTCATAGGATTCTCCACAACAATAGGGGATTTCAAAAAGGACACTGGTAGGCATTGAGATGGTGCAAATCAAATCTTCATACTAGTTAGTAGACAAGAATCAAGAAACTTACCAAGAATAGTGAACTGCATTAGGAATGAAGGTATATTTTTTCATTTCAAGAATTTCTTTGCTGTGAACAATTCAATAGGACTTCCATCATTGTGGTAAAAACAGTATCTTACACATCTGGTTTGCCTCTGCTATATCCATAAGCATGGAGCATAAATCATCCACACTTTCACCATGCTGCTGCAAGGCTTCTGCAATGCATGCATTAACCATGTCTTGGACACCTGACATTTGATATTCTCTGACAACCACTGTCAGAGTCTGCTGCAAATCCTTCCTTGCAGTACTCCCATTCTTGACCTGCAAGTGGAAAAATAAGTATTCAAAAATGATTACACAACCTGAAATCATTAGTCTGTGATTAAAGCTGTATCAAAAGATATAATCTACCAATGCCATGTTCTACAAGTGCTGCCAGGGAATGCTGCCTTGATGTAGACATTGTAGGGATGGAGATGGAATTGTTTTGGTGTATGATGGGTTGCTATAACCAACCAATTCAATAAATCATAGGCAGCTAGCCCACATCATAGAAATGAAACAAACATACCACCTGCCAAGATATCAAGGTAAAATGGGAACCAATGTTGAAGTAGAAAAAATAGTGACAAACCAACTGTAGTACATGTGGGGAACAGATGAGCAGAGGATGTGGAACAAAACCATACATTCTGGAAACATGATTAAAACTTTGTCAGGATTTGGGAGGAATTATGACAACCAACATTCTGAGAGAGATACAGGGGAAGTAAGAATAAACAGCATAGTCCATGGGAAGATTGAACCTACATCCTAACACAACATCTCAGCAAGATTACAGAGATACATGCATTGATCAAGCTCACCATCTAATGTGAAGACCTTGTGAAAAGTATACTAAATGGGCAATCTACACAACACTCACCCTCTAAGAGCCAAAGATGAAGAGAGAAATAGTAAGGATAGTGAGTATACCTTCCCCTCCTGCTGATTCTGGTGCAACAGGTACTAACATCCTATGAATGCAAATGCAATGGGGTAGGAGAGAAAATCATAGTCAGCAAGCATGCAGTCACCATTCTCCATGCATCCACTCACATCCTATGAATGCAAGTCCAGCAGAGGGGTGGTGAACATATTAAGCATGCATCCACTGTGATGACTCTACCCACAAGCTATGGACCCCAGTCCACAGGATGAGAGTGAACATGTCAGTATGCCTCCTTCATCTGTGATGACTCCACTCACATCCTATGAACCCCAGTACAACAGGGTGGGATGAACATGTCAGCATGCACCCTCCTCCACCTGCAATGATTCCACTCACATCCTATGAACCCCAATCCAACAGGGTGGGAGGGACATGTCAGAATGCATCCATCACCATCTCCAATGACTCCACTCACATCCTATGAGCCCCAGTGCAACAGGGTGGGTGTGAACATGTCAGCATGCACCCATGACCATCAGCCATTACTCCTCTCACTTCCTATGAACCCCAGTCAACAGGGTGGGAATGAACATGTCAGCATGCATCCACCACCTTCTGCCATGACTCCACTCACATACTATAAACCCAAGTACAACAGGGTGAGAGTGAACATGTCAGCATGCATCCACCACCATCAGCCATGATTCCACTCACTCTCTATGAACCCCAGTGCAACAGGGTTGGAGTGAACATGTCAGCATGCATCCACCACCATCTACCATGACTCCACCCACTCTCTATGAACCCCAGTGCAACAGGGTGGGAGTGAACATGTCAGCATGCATCCACCACCATTTTCTGTGACTCCACTCACTGTCTATGAACCCCAGTGCAACAGGTGGGAGGGACATATCACCATGCATCCACCTCCATCAACCATGACTCCACTCACTTCCTATGAGCCCCAGTGCAACAGGGTGGGAGTGAACATGTTGGCATGCATCCACCACCATCAGCCATGACTCCACTCACTCTCTATGAACCCCAGTACAACAGGGAGTGAACATGTCAGCATGCACCCACAACCATCTGCAATGACTCCACTCACTATCTATGAACCCCAGTCAACAGGGTGGGAGTAAACATGTCAACATGCATCCATCACCATTTGCCATGACTCCACTCACATACTATGAACCCCAGGACAACAGGGTGTGAGTGAACATGTCACCATGCATCCACCAACACCTGCAATGACCCCACTCACATCCTATGAACCCCAGTGCAACAGGGTGGTGTGAACATGTCAGCATGCATGCATCTCTGTCTCCACCTCCATTTCCAATGACTCCACTCACATCCTATGAACCCCAATGCAACAGAGTTGGAGTGAACATGTCAGCATACATCCACTACCATCTGCCATGACTCCACTCACTCTCTATGAACCCCAGAGCAACAGGGTGGGAGTGAACATGTCAGCATGCATCCACCACCATCAGCTATGACTCCACTCACTAACTTTGAACCCCAGTCCAACAGTTTGGAGTGAACATGTCAGCATGCATCCACTACCATCAGCCATGACTCCACTCACTCTCTATGAACCCCAGTCCAACACAGTGGGATTGAACATTGGTCATCATGCATCCAATACCATCTTCCCTCAGTCAACTTACATACTATCAATTCCAGTCCAAAAACAACAGCAACAATCACATTCAGCATCAGTTATACTTGTACTTGCAGAATTTCACACACTTTCTATAACTTAATCAGCCTCTTATTCACCCAAAGCACTGGTTGCTTACAAATGGGAACCATGTTGCAAGGGCATTTGCTATGGTGTCCAATTCAATTTGGTGAGCCACATTGTTCAAGATCCTCTTCAATGTCCTTTCTCTAGTCAGTACCCTCTACATCTTGATTTGTGCCACTCACTTCATTATGGCAAATTCCATGCACAGTCCCAGGTTTGACTGCTGTGAAGATATAAGCAGCCCTTGCAGTCCTTCCTCTGTCAATGCACTTGCTGTGCATTTCAACAGCTCTTTCACAATCTGCACCCTTCTGTTGCATACCTGGAGAGACACATTTGCTACTGGCAGGGTATTAATCCATAGCTTACTTACTGGTAAGCACCAGGTAGTTTTGAGGTGGAAACTGCCAGTTTATCCAGCCAATCCTTGACCTTGTCCAGGCAGCACTTTTGTACCTCCTTTCCTACTTCTGGAGCCCTTTTCCTTGCATCATCTACAGTTGACCCCTTTTTCTTAAGCTCCTGAAATGCATCAAGACTCAAAGTGTCTGCCTTTGTTAGTAGCACAATCACAGGAACTGTGCAAAGCCTAAATCCATGCACCAAATATGATGTGATATTTGTGATCACATACCATGCCCTGAATCACACTCATTAAAGAACTTCATTTCAGCAGCTGTGACCATCCTATGCCTTTCATTCAAAGGAATGCAATACCTAAATCAAGTACAAGCATGTCAGTGGACTTCCAGTGGTGTGACTCAGACAGGTCCTTACCAAATCGCATGTATTCTCTGCTCCAGTTTGGTGGCCTTGGCATGTTCTGTGACAAATTTCTTCATCTTATCAAACTCTGCCTCCTCCCCTGCCTCGAATCCGCACGAGTCATGGAACACAAACTGTTGGTTACTTTGAAACACCAGCTCATCCTCAATGGTATGGACACCACGCTGCACAAGTTTGATGTGAGCCCCATTTAATTTCATATAGTGGCCTTACCGATAGTGAACCCTGCACCACCCCAGAATTAACCTGGCAGAATGACAGGTTGACAAACATGAAGCCCATAGCGCACGCACATACCTTCACTCCGTTTCCATCGAAGATCTCAGGCTGATCCGTAGTGTTACAGACCCGCTGTAAAATAGTTGTTTTACCCGCATTTGCTCTGCCCATGACAAGAATGCGAAAACGAGGGATGCGATCAATCTGCATTTTAGCCTCTGTAGGATCTAAGCGATAGTCTGAAGCCGGCGTAGGGACGACTGCATGCGGGGAAACTGAATGTGTGGCTTCAGTGGGGAGTAATATACCAGCATTGCCACTCGGAGGTTGAGAACGCCGCAGCGAACGCCACCAGGAACGAAGAGAGTTCGGCGCCATGATAAGAAAACAGGTTTTAGGATATCTTAAGCAGTAAGTGTGCTACGACTGTAGGGGACGATGGTGGTGAAGTGCGAAGGGCAAGGGACTGCGGAGTCGAATATCCACGCGCCTATCTGCACTGTACAGCCCGACCCACATGTAAACTACGATCACCAAGTTCCTGTTGAACCGCCCCATTTCTTCTCGTCGTCTGACCGCCTGCCTGTGATGCATCTGTGAGGGAAAGACTCAACCATCGGTTTTTCCTTGCTACCATTCTCGATTGCTCATAGCGATGCGGCAACGGGTTCATCCCATACTCTGCGGTACCAAGCCAGCTCGATAGGTATAGTTGTGTTCCTGGTGAAACCTACTACTGATCTTCTCAGCAGCTTCGTGTTTCTGTGCCCCGTCCTCCACGCCAGACACCGCAGCACAGTGGAGCTTTCCCAGCTCCCCCTTCGGGGATCTGGCTTCCAAAAACATACTTCCATAATACTCTGCCGTGCAGTTGGGAAATCCACAAGGAACATGTCTCTTTGCTAACTTACCCTAGCATTAGCGCGGGGTGTGTTAACGATCAGTGACCTGATCAAGGCGCCTGCGCAATCACGGGGTCAAGATCTGATCCACGAACCGACGTGCTATGAACTACTTCCAGTTGGTGATATTGATGACGACCATCATGTGGACATCCTGCACCCGTCAGCTCTATTGCAGAAGAGAGCGGCGGAGAAGAAATCTTCCACTCGCGCAAAACACCTGTCGGACGCAGTCAAGCCTTCCTCACCTTCTCTCGCCACTCGTACCCCCCTCCCGAGCGAGCACGTCCTGCTCAGCGATTCGCCCACCTCATCATCCCCTTCAAGCGCATTCACTCCACTTGGCGAGGCGCGAACGCGCACCTCGGACGACGGGACGCAGGAAGGTTGGTCAAGCATGAACGACGCCACCCACCATCGGCAGTCTCAACCGCATCAGCCGCCGTGGTACGCTTGGAAGCATCGCAGATCGTGTCCATTGGAAGAGTGGCGTTAATGAGTGCAGTGGGGAAGTCAGTCGCAAGGAAGCTCAAAGGAAGGATAGAGAAAGGACCATGGCAGATCTGGCTTAGTAGATGTTGGACACGACACTGGCGATGCGCACACCTCTGCAGCCACGAGTGGCGACATGCATCAAGCGTTGTTGGGCCCCGACAGGACCCCTGAAAAGTCTATCAGTGCTGGTATTAGCTCCATGCCCAAGCGCGGCTCTGCATCCTCTACGACATACAGGCACCCCCACGAGTTCGCGTAACTCGGCATCGTTATCAACTGCAATAAGTGCGACATCCGTCTTTGCTATCTCATGTAGACACTCCACTGGTGTAGGCTAAGGTCGACGGAACAGTGCGGGGAGCGATATCTTGGGTGTCTACTCGGGTGGTGACGGTACTGTGAAGGATCGCACGGGCTTTCTGGCAAGTGGAGCTGAGGCGTTGGAGGAGGACTGTGTGCGCCCTGTCCCACCTCAGTCTTTCCACGATGTTGCATTTCCTCTCGCTGCTGGCGATGAGGGCAGTATCGAGCGTATAGTATCCCTGGAGAACCCACCGTCATCCAAATCCTATGATGTTCATTCGCACGAATCAACAAATCATGGGTTTCACTGCTGCACTTGAGACTGCACCTTCCGTTCACTAGACACCCTCGAAGAAATGGAGTTTTCTAACGTGCTGAATATCCAGTTGACGAGTTCGCCCTTGGTTGTGTCCATGAGAGTGGGAGACAAGGAGACATCGAGCTTCCCGCTGAGCCCGCGCTCCATACAAAGTTTCAGTCAGCAGTTGCGAAAGGGGTAAGCCTTTGCCTGTTCTGCGTCGAACAAAACTGTTTGGTCACCGATTTAACCAGAAGCCATCGGCTCTGCCGCCTCTTTCGCGTCGCTCTCTTCTGTCGGGTCCCCTCGAATGCCTGGCTCGCCTCCCTGCAGTCTAGAAAGACACCCGATCGCAAGATAGGGGGGGGGGGTTGTAAGTTGTCCAGGAACTGGTTCCAGTATCAGCAATACCACCGCGTTCAACGCCAACGTGAATGCGTCACCCAGCCCTGTCCCTTCGTTCAGACGTAACCAGTCGAAACGCCTCACACCCTCCTCCATCCCATTCTTCCGCCGGTCATCTCCACACATTGTGCAAATATCAATGTCAAACGCTGCCGCGGTCCCAGTAACACCAACGATGTCGATGGCTCCAGTCGTCCTGTCCGGATAAAGCCGTATCAAAGTAGCAAATAGCTCGCCCATCAAAGAATCATTTTCTAGGCCTTCCCCGACCACACCAAGCACATCTCAGGAGAAGACATCAGTTCTGAGTTTAGGGTGACCTTCGTTTCTCAAGGGTTCAAGTTCGAAAAGGAGTTTGCACGGCGATATGAGTGACACTGGGACGGCCAAAGGGACGAGAGAAAGTAGTGGTAATCACAAAACGAGGGAAGGAGAAAAGGCGAGGGCGATGCAAGGTCTCGAGGATCGGAGCGAGAGTAGGACATCGGTACTGATGGGCAGGAAAAAGGACAAGGCAAGTAACAGCGTACTTGATTGATCCTCCTTTGGATATCCATGTGTAACAAACTATCATTTTGCAGACGCTCTCTTCCGCGGACCCGAAGAAGGCTCCGGCTGTGGCTTTGCACCAAAGCAGATGTCCGCGCTTCCTGCTACTACCGCGCAGCGTGTCGCCAATCTAGAGAACAACTCGGTACCTACAGCTGCTTCTGCCATCACGATGACTCCGCCGTCCTCTCGTATCAGGTCCCAAACCGTGAGCTCGATGGAGAAACAGTCGCTGCGAACCACCGATCAGGTGCCCACGATTGCCGACTTGCCTCCAGTTGGTACGACTAGTCATAGCGCGTCAAAAGAGCCCAAGGATCATCCACCCTCTGCTCTCCTCAATATGTTTGGGCATTGCCAAAGAAACCCCCAGCCAAGATACCTCGTATCTCGGGTCGTACATGTGCAGCTGGTTCACCAGGACTGCGTTCCGGGTGGGACACACTAGTTAGCAGACGCGTCAGCCTGAACATGACTGCTCCCTCTGCAAACTCGTCACCGATACATGCTGACGCAGTGACGGACGAATTTGGCGTCTTGGAAAACGGAGATGCTCAAAGTGGCAACAAGTTGCGGAAGCGGATGGCCAGCCAGTCTCCAGGCGTCAATCTGCGCGCCAGCGCCTCCGCTCAACGAATCATCGCACCTTCCCCCAAGGTTCTCAGCACTCTCCCCCCAAGAGCCTGAAACTCTTGAGCCCTAAGATTTCTTTAGCGGGTGGCTGCTCCTCCCATCATCAGCATCGTGCAGCGGAGTCCATCGTCAAGCCGTCAGTCACTATCGACGCCGTCCCCGGTTCCTGAGGCGGTGGAAGAGGAGTTCCTAGGTGATGAAGAGATGAAGCAATACATCAGTCGTCAGCAGGTAAAGATGGCACATGGAGCAACGCACGAAGAGTTGGATGAGATATTGAAATCCAAGACCCGATTTCTCCCACACCCGGAATGACGCCACAAGGTGAGTTGTACTGTGTGGTCTTTACCCGCTTCTCGTCCCCCTTACCTTCGACTTGTTGCAGAACTGCTGCACAGCCCACAGGCTCGGCACCTGTGTCCCTACGCACGTGAAGAGATGTTCCATCATTCTCTAGTTTATTTCATTGGTACTGGAAGTCAGAAGAAGCAAGCTGATCCGGACATCTATCTAGTAGTGCGCAGTGACCACCTGGCGTATCGATATGAAGTCGTGGATGCCCTAGGCAATGGATCTTTCGGTCAGGTGTTGAACTGTCGAGATCACCGAACTGGTGAATCTGTCGCGATCAAGCTAATTCGAAATAAGAAACGCTTCCATCACCAGGATTTGGTCGAAATCACGATTTTGGACAATCTACGCAAATAGGTATGTGTGTTTCAACCGCAGTTTTCTACCTTCCCTTTCATTTTCCCTCACCGAGACGGTTTTTTTTTTTGGAATAGGACCAAAGAGGAGAAAACCACGTCGTCAAGATGACAGAGCATTTCTACTTCTGCAGCCACTTGTGCATCGCAATGGAGCTGCTGAGCATTAACTTGTACGAGTTGATCAAGGCGAACAGACTTGTCGGGCTTCACCACCACCTTGATACGGCGTTTCACGAGCCAGATGACCATGTCATCGATACTTGATGTGGGCATCATAATCATAGAATCGTTCGCTGCGGCCTTAGAGCCCGAGTTAACGTACCCAGACATCAGTGCATTGCTTCTGTTAACTCAGGCCATCCTTCTCAAAGGATGTTCTGCTCAAACACCCGCCGAAGAGCGCGATCAAGGTGATCGACTTTGGCAGTACTTGCTTCGAGCACGAGAAGAGTGAGCTTGGGTTCCATCAATTCAGGAGGTTCACTGTTATCTCACTCTTCTTTGCCTAGTTTATACGTCACACCCAAAGTCAGTGCTACCCTTCACTGGAGGTCATCCTCGGCATCAACTACCATGTGGCCATCGACATGTGGAACCCAGGGTGCATCCTCGCCGAATTGTACACGGGATTCCCAATCTTCCCTGGCGAGAACGAGCAGGAACAATTAGTCTTGTATGATGGAGGTTCTTGGTCCTCCAAATCAAGAAAGTCATTGACCGCTAACCCACCGAAGAGGCTCCTTTTCGGTAAGTTTGAACAATGGAATCTACGTTGTCATCGCAGTTCAAACCCTTTTGTGTGTGTATAGATAACAGTGGAGCACCACGATCCGTGGTCAACTTCAAGGGTCAGAGAAGAGGACCTGGTACGAAAAACCTTCCTCGAGTTCTTTGATGCCAGGATGATGATTTTGTCGGCTTCGTGGCACGGCGTCTTGTTCGGGACCCAGAACGGCGCATGAAACCACAAGCAGCACTTCAGTATAGTGTCTTGAAAACCGGACACGGTCCAAGGTCACCAGTCCCTCGCCCACGACCACCACGGCGCTACTGCCATCATCCAGCCTTTCTGAATCACGGACGTCGAAGGTTACGGAGACTCCGAAGAAATCGCAGATTAGCGCACTGTCGTCACAGACGGTGTCAATGCCACCCCCGTCCGTGCAACCTCTATGGGTCCGTTATCACGCCCTACCGTTCCTCGCGACATTCATTTTGCCGGACACTAGGTGGGTTCGCCGTGTGTTGTCCATCATCGTCGGATTGGCCGTTCTAACAGGAGCTTATGACTTGGATGCAGGTGGCAACTGCTAAATGAGTTTTGGAACGGATGGATGGATTTTTCCCCCCTTTGTTCCTCTTTGTCTTTTTATGTTAATAAAACCCTCTGGGGAATCTTCACCCCAGCATAATTCAGTAGCAGGTTGACCTGAATCCCACACATCACACATACTAAGTTCATAATTTCATGAGTATGTTGTGTAGTGCTGCAAGTCTACTGAAATCCAAAGTATCAGTAAGGTGTCCATGATGTACAGTAGACTCCCTCTTAACCCATGGCTGTCAGGACTGTCTGGGAGGTATGGATTTTCAGGGAGTATGGGTTCTGTAAGAGGTTGGTTTTGAACAGGAAAAAAATATACTTCTGCATATGTTTACCTAGTAATAGGGTAGTAGATATTGTTCAACTACTCTTCCAAAGGAAAATAAGAAATTAATTTAGTATCCTTCATATTCTGTATCCCAGCTGTGCAGACCCTTCAGTCACCTGTAGGCCTGAAAGTGGGTCATCTGACATGTACATTTTGTCTTAAAAGTGGGACTAACCAATATCAGCTGATGGTGCCCAAAGGTGGGTAGGCTGGTGTGTGGAGGTGGGATTGGCCAACCTCATGGGGAGATGGATGTACCCCATGGAAGTGGGGTCAGCCAACCTGTTTGGAGGGTGGACTCAGTGCCTGGAAGTGGGGTTGGCTGACCTGTTTGGAGGATGCACCCTGCCTGGAAGTGGGGGTTGGCCAACCTGTTTGGAGGGTGGACCCGTGCCTGGAAGTGGGGTTGGCTGACCTGTTTGGAGGGTGGACCCATGGCCTGGAAGTGGGGTGGCTGACCTGTTTGGAGGGTGGACCCAGTGCCTGGAAGTGGGTTCAGCCAACCTGTTTGGAGGATGCACCCAGTGCCTGAAAGTGGGGTTGGCTGACTTGGCTGGAGGATGGACCCACCTCCTGGAAGTGGGGTCAGCTGACATGATTGGAGGGTGGACCCACTACCTGGAAGTGGGGTCAGCCTGTTTGTTTGGGTGGACCCACTGCCTGGAAGTGGGGTCAGCCAACCTGTTTGGAGGATGCACACCACCTCCTGCAAGTTGGAGTTGGCTGACCTCACTGGGAGATGCACCTACCACACCAATAAGAGGTTCAATGTTGGTACCTTCAGCTTTCTGTCAAAACTTGTATGAGGGCATTGCAAGATAGCATGGCAAAGTACAGAGTAAGCCCCCTCCACATTACTTGCTTTTTGGCCTTTCAGCAGGTCTCCCTTCACCACTAGGCACCTTTTGGTTGCGACCCCCAGTAGCCAGTACTGCATCAGCATTCATTGTGGAACCCCCCCCCCTTTGTCCCTAGGAGCAACCAATCTTGACAGTCTCTTGCTATGTCTCCATTCTTCATGTTTGATCCTAATCTAACATTCTGCACTTAGTTGTCTGTCTGCTTGTTTTCTTTTAAAGTCTCTTGTCAGGTTAGAACTGATCCTCTCATCCAAGGGGGTCTAAAGCTCCAGGAATCTGCTGACTCACTGACAAGTACCAATGCAGTACCAAGGGTGGGACATTACAGCTGAGATGTTATGAAGTTGATCAAATGATACTGAACACAAAAGTGGACTTGCTCTGTAGTTGACATGTTATGTAGCAGTGTCCTTGTACAAGTCCTGACAGAAGGCTGAA